TTAGGAAAGTATTTCTAGCTGCAAGTACTGAAAACACACAAGAATTACTCGGCAAGACAAGGACGTGGTAGAGAGCCTGCCCAGCATGCAGGAAGCCCTGGCTTCCGTCCCCAGCACTGCATAGAGCCAGTATAATGATGTACATCTACACTTGGAGCACTTGGGGGAGGGGCAAGAGAATCTGAAATTTAAAGGCTCCTTCAGCCACTTACAGAATTTGAAGCCAGCGGGAAAAGTGTCGCACGCCCTTACTCCTAACACTCAGGAGACACTGGCAGGGGAATCTTTTGAGTTTGAGCCACGCCTGGACTACATGAGTCCATCTCAGAACACAAGCAAAATAACAACAAAAGTTAGGATGAAGAAGTAATCACAAGCACACAGTGCAGATGGGGAACCAACTCATTGCCTTGCAGCAAAGACAGAGGAAGGGGCAAATGAACAGAGCCTTAGGGAACCCAAGACATCCTCACTTGAGGCTGATGTCAAGAAAACTGCAACTCGAGATCTGGCCCCACTCTTGTAGGCAAAGGGTTGCCATGGTACCCTTGGCCAAAATGAGCATGCCCAGCAGCCAGTCAATGGGTCCCTCCACTTGGATCTGCCAAGAGGGAACAGAATCTGGAAAAATGAAACCAGGACAAAATGCAAGACAGAGTAAGCACCAGTAAGTCTCCAACAAAACATTAAAAAAGACTTGAGCTGGGTGGTGGGGGCACTTGCCTTACTCCCAGCTCTGGGGAGACGGAGGCAGCCTGGTCTACATAGTGAGTTTCAGGACAGCCAGAGCTACATAGTGAGACCCTGTCTGGGAAAACCAAAGAAGACAAGGAAGAAGAAGAGGATGAAGAGAAGGAAGAGGAAGAGGAGGAAGACAACAAAGGGGATGCAGAGGAAAAGGAGAACAAGGAGGAAGAAGAGAAGAATAAATGACAGAGTGCTCAGCCCTAAATAATGTATTCTACCATATGCTTCTAACACTTAGGGGTAGTGTGAAGAGAGGATGCAATCTGGAAGTCAAGGCAGCTGCTGCTGATACCTGTGCTGCGTCAGCACAAGAATGGGCCTGTCGACAGTCAGGCAGAGGGTCAGTGTGGTGGGACCTGCCTTTAATCCCAGAATCTGAGAGGTGGAGGCCGATGAATCTCTGAACATAGTACGTTCCAGGCCAGCCAGGGCTACACAGTGGGAACCTACTGTTAAAAAAAAAAAAAAAAAAAAAAAAAAGGCAGAGGTAGGTGGAAGAGGAGGTTGGGGAGGGGGTAGGTGGGCCCATCTTGAGCACCCAACTATTTGTTATGGTAGACGCAGGAGAGAGGAGAGGACTCTTTGCTTTCAGGTGTGTAACCACCGGTGGCTCCAGCAGGCTCCAATGCATAGTTCCAATCCAGTGCTCATACAGATGGCTGCAATGGGTCACAAAACAAACCCAGTCATGAATGGAGCAAAGGACAGGCAGGGAGGCCTGGGGGGGGTCAACTTGTGTGAGAGCGATGAGGGTCAGGGGAGAGAGTAAGCGGAATGCATTAATGCATGTACAGAGCAGTCACAGAACAAGGTTAGTATAAAGTGAAAAAGCATGAAGGGAGAGGAGAGTGCGAGAGAGGGCAATCAGCTGGCACATTGATGAAATCAGCAAGAGACATGGAGATGAGGAAGAAGGGACTGTGCTGCAGGGCTGAGACGGGAAGTGGAGGCAGGAGGACTCCTGAAGCAACTGGGCTGCTAAGCTGGGGTGAGCAGCAGCACCTCAAATCACGGTGAAAAACCCAACACCTGAGGGTAACCTCTGCCCTCCACATGCGTGAGGCGGCACACATGCGCCTACATCCACAAGCGTGTACATGTACACAGCCACATTATACACAGATTTTAGAGAATTATAACATCCCTGGAAAGTCAAGGTATTGAGTAACATGTTAAAAAAAAAAAGTCAAGGGAGTAACATGTTAAAAAAAAAAAAAAGAGAGAGCTAACAACAAAGCTTTTGTATACAGGCAAGCATGCGAACACACATACACGGGGGGGGGAGCATGCACTCTTACAAACATGCATGCACACTCGCCATGTTATCCTCACCGCCAGAGTCCGAGGGTAGAAACCGAGAATCGGTGGCCTCAGACCCACTCAGGAATACCAGAGGGTGCACTGGGAACAGAAATGACATAAAGAACAGAGCTGGCACGGAAGAGGTAAGGCCACAGGCTGCCCTTCTAGACTGCCAGGGAAGCGTGTGCAGCTATGACTCTATTTAAAAGTAAAAATATCAAAGTCTGGGGACAGTGGCGTGGTTTAGTAGATGGAGGCATTTGCCACCAAGACTGATGACCTGAATTCTATCCTGGGGCCCTTGTGGTGGAAGAGAATTAACTGCCATCAGCTATCCTTTGACCTCCACATGGAGCTGTGGGAGACGAATGCATGCACACGAGAACACACACACACAAGAAATAAAAATTTAAAAAAATCAAAGTCAGATGTGCTATTACTAGTATACTAGTATTTTCCACAAATACTTATATATTACTTATCCGGGGCTGGTGAGATGGCTCATCACCATCTTAGGAGCCCTTGCTGCTCTTCCACAGGGCAAGAGTTCGAGTCCCAGCACCTACGTCAAGTGGCTCACAACCACCTGTAACTCAAGAAGGTGCAACGCCCTCTTCTGGCCACTGTTGGCACCTGCACATATGTGCATATAACCGACACACATACACATAAATACATTTTAAAATACTCGTAATGTGTGTGCACAGAGCTGCAACAGAGGTCGGCTTTGCGACTCTCTATCTCCGTCTACGATGGGTTCCAGGGACAGAACTTAGGTCATCGGGCTTCTGTGCCAAGTGGAAGTTATACACACTAAATGTCCATGGTGCTTTATTAGAGTACAGCTCCTACATCAACACAGGAACTGTACATTTCAATTATTGGCATTTCATTTAGATATTCATTTAAAATTTACAGTTAGTATGTTAGTGTGTATGTGTGTGTATACAGCTATTATGAGCTCATGCACACCCCAGCGCATATGTGGCGGGTCAGAGGGCAACTTGCAGGGATTGGTTCTGCCCTTCACACGTGTGGGTCACAGAGACTGAACTCAGGTTGTCGGGTTTGGGTGACAAGCTCCTGTACCCAATGAGCCATCTTGCCAGCCTGCACTAAGTTTGTTTTTGGCCAAGGAGATGGTTTAGGAAGTAAAAATGTCTGCCAAACAAGTCTGATGAGCCAAGTTTGATGCCTGGAACCCACGTGAAGGTGGAAGTTGCGAACCAGCCCCGAAAGTGTCTCTCCTTGAACCCCCATTTGCACACTGAGCACTGTGCCCACACATACCTACACATATACACACACGAATGAAATAGTTATCTACCGCAGTTCATCTAGCTTAATAAGCACACTTCTGTCGGTAAAACCGAGATGGATAATCTAAGAGGCGGTGTAACTATCTCTGGTGTTTAACGTGTGTACACGCAGCTCCGGTATGTGGTATGTGTGTGCGGTGAAGTACCCTGCTCCATCACACTCCACCTCCGACTGCTGAGATGGCGTCTCCACGGAACCTGGTGATTGTCTAATGACCAGCAAGCTCCAGCAATCCTCCTGTCTCCACTCCCAGGGCACTGTGGCTACAGACATGCACTCGGCCACACATGGCTCTTTACATATGTATGGGGATTTGAACCCAGGTCCTCATGCTTCTGTATCACGTGCTCATGCTCCCTGAGCCCTCTCTCCAGCTCGAGTGCACACTTTCATGTCAGCGAAATCTTTCATTGACAAGACTTTCTGGTCAGCCCTCTGGTGTGATTATCTTCAAAGTTTTCTATTTTAAGGAGGATAGAGATGTCTCCCAAAGGAGAGATAAGTTACAGTTATGGCTTGTATTTATAGTTGTGTTTCCCAGCCCATGGGATTCACTGAAGGAATGCTTGTTTGATACCACAACACATCTGTTAAGAATAAGTAACTGCTAATTCCTTTCCCTGAGGTGTTTGGCGGCAGGCAGGCAAAAGGGCGAAATCCTGAAAAGTATATATATATTTTTATTCGAAAAAGCCCATGATTCTTTGGAAGTGACACAAGATCAGTTTCCAGGGGTCAGGCCTTACTTCCCGTAACCTCCATAAAAGCCATCCATTCCAAGGGCTCCTGTTCGCCCCGCCCCAACTCACATTCGGCACCTAAACAGGAAATGTTCAGTTCTGAAAGATGGGAGGAGTGTGTGCTCAGCGGCAGTCTGCTGTCCTGGGGTCCCCTTCCCCGTGACAAAGCTTCGGGAGCTCACCGGAGAGTGGGGGAGAACTGTGGAACCCCGCTACTGTCAGCGCCACCAGAACCAGCTGCCAGGGAGCCACAGGTGATGGCCCCCCCGGGCCTCCCCCTCTTCTAAACTGGGAGTCACCGGGAGTCTGGAGAGGTAGCAGACGGTCCAGTGCTGGCACTGGCTTCAGGTTGTGGGACATGATTTGAACTGGTCACAGAAGGAAGAAAAAGAACAGGCCTGCCTGCCAGGCCTCTGCTGGTGGAGTGAGTGGAGAGGGACGTAGTGACATGGCTGCTGTGGGTGGGTGGGGTAGGGGGACACCAGAGGACAGGAGAGTGACCCAGTCACAGAGAAGAAGCTCACTATGGAGTGTAGGCCTGCATCGCCCCCACAGAACGTTTCCTCACTAAATAAGGGTGCTGAGGAGGGAAAGCCCACAGCCAGCACCTGGCTGGCATTTAAATACGGAGAGAACAGCGGCCCACTGACGCCAGGAAGCTTGGTGCAGCCTATCTGGCCCAAGTGAAGGTCATCTTTCTAATTCTGCTTCCAAGGCCCAGGAATGTATGTGAGAGGGAGGGAGAAAGGACAGGAGGGAGGGAGGGAGGGATGGAGGGACAAAGGAAGGGAGGAAGAGAGAGAGAGAGGGAGGGAGGGAGAGAGGGAGAGAAAGAAAGAAAGAAAGAAAGAAAGAAAGAAAGAAAGAAAGAAAGA